TAATAGCTTAGTCACAGAGGTTTTGAAAGGAACTGAACGAAGGATAAGCTGTAAAGTTGGCATTTTGTCTTTCTCTAAAACTGTTTCAGTGTCTTGCAATTGCAGAATTTGAAAACTGTTTCCTCAGTCAATAATACAGTCTGCAGTAGAATCAGTTCCCAAGGAAGCAAAACTATAGTATGATTATGTCATGCAACACAAACCCAACCATTAGAAAGAAAGCAAATCATGTTTATTCATTTAATTTACTCCTTAGATTCTCAGTCTTTGAGGCACTTTCTTTGGACTCACTATCATTAAAATTTGAGAGATTATATTCAATTTACTTCAAATAGCTTTCTTTCAAGAAATACACACTATTTCATCTAAGGTGAAGTGAGATTTTCTCTAAGTAAAAATTTGAACTAATTTTTCAAAATATTAAGATCTCTGTCAAAAGCTGATTTTTTTTTTCATACAAAGATTTGAGTTTTGAGCTGCCTATTATTTGTTTAATAATATTTGGTCTAACTATCTTTCAAGTATTTTCAGTTGAGCTTTAATTAATTTTTTTGTCTATTGAATATTTAAAATTTTTATATTTTTCATATCAATTCTTGTTATTTAATTTATTTCGTTAATTAGGGGATTTAAATATTGTTTTGTCATTGTCTTACTTATCTTTTTGTATTAAAAAGGTTTAGTTAAGGTTTTATTGTTAATATAAAAGAAGTGAATTTTATTACTTTATTGAAAACATATTAAACAACAAGATCGTTATATTTATCAATTAGTTTTATGTTATCACTTATCATGATCAAGGAATTGTTCTCATAACAATCATCTATCATTGATAAGGCTAATCATATGTTATTTTACATTGATGCAATATAATTTTATATTAACAATAAAATTTCACATTTCTTAATAAAAATAAGTAAAGAATATGATGAAACAAAATAACAATTTCATCATTCAATAAAAAAAAAGTTAAACAAAACAAACCTCAATTAAAAATATAATTTTTTTTAAAATATTTAACAAACTAATACAATTTAATATGAACTCAATTAAAAATATCCAAATTTATTGTTAACTTAAAACTTAACCTAAACACTTAATCTAAGATGATTACACAATAGCTAGTTTCAAAATGTACTCTTCAACATGTTTTATTTTGGTATTGACCCCTTTCCATAATCAGCAGCAAAACAAGAAAATCATCTAGCTAACTCTAGTACTTTTTTCATGTATTAACATGAATGATAAGTGTTTAGAAGCATGTTAAAACCGTGAGGGTGGATTGCTTCTTGATGAAGAAGTTTGATGATGAGAAAAAGGTAGTTGTGATTGGGAATCTTGAGTTGAAAAAGGACGAACAGAGAAACACAATGGAAGCTGTTAACATAAAGTGTTTTTGTGTGCAAACTTTTTGAACAGATTGAAAATGGTGTAGGGAATGGGATACCACAAAATCAATAATGAAATAGGCCTTCCCAAACCCTATCAGCTAAAACTATTAGTCAAAGGTACTTTTTTTCATACAATAAATTCTTACATTAAAAGTTACTTCTTTTTAAAACCACATAAGTTGTATATTTTACTTAGGAAAATCTTATGTTGTCTATGTGTAAAAGCATGTACAAGAGGGTATATTAATCTTATTGTCTATTCAATTTTTCCTTGTGTGAATGGTCAAAATTTATTTTTGCTAAACATTATTTTAATCTCTTGTATATGATTGAATAATTAATCTAAGACTTTTTAGCATATTATTGATTCGCCACTTTTGGAGAAAGAGAGAATATGCAATGTCCCCCACCAATTTCCACCTATGACCTATTGAGAAATACTTTTTTAGTGAGCATAAAAAATGTTTGATAATATTTATATAGAAAAAAATGTACAATACAATTCTTTTAAATACAAAATGTCATCGCAAAAATAACAAACTAATTAGTTTTATAAGTTATAGTTACACTTTAAATGTTTTTCATAATTTTAAAATAAAATGACTAAATTAATACTAGTTTAATCTACTTTTTTTCTTATCTTTTATAACTTTTAACATTCATTTTGAAAAAAATATATAATATTATTAATAACCCATATAAAATAAAGGATTACTTAAGATAGACATATACTAACTATCATTGGTTTTAGCAGCTAAAGCTGATCATGTGGGAAATGTAAGATAACAACATTTATGTGACAGTTTGAAATCATTGATGAAATTATAGGTAAGAAAAAAAATGGGATGTGGTGGAGAGGCGAGGAGAAGAGTAAGCGCGAATCACTCATTCAATTAATGATGGCACCACTACCTCAAACCACTCCTGGTTCTATCATGGATATCAACTCATTTAAGGCATCAATGTTTCTTTCTTTATAAACCCGGGGAAAACACTGGTTAAACACCCCGTAAACCACTAATACGTTTAGGGTTTAACAACGAATGAGTTGTTTCCTACCCCACATCCCAAGATATCCAGAGCTTTCAAATGATCATATATAAACCTGTGTAAATAGTGAGTTATTTCCAATGTGGGACTTACAAATTCGATTTTTCCTAATCCTAAAGTCTCAATTCTGTTTATAGTATCGCCCACCCATCAGAAGAAATCTCATGTTCTCATTCCAGCCAGTTAGGTACACAATCCTGCTGTGTCTTTTATGATTTATTTTTTATTTTTTATTTTTTATTTTTTCCCTCGATATATATGATTCCAGTATGTCCAACCAGCTCAAAATCGTGACCAAGTGACTCAACCATTTTAGAGAGTAGAAGAACCTTATGATTGAAACCGAGGACGTCACTCTCATAAGCTACCAAGAACCAATGGTATTCTCGATTCCCTAAGTCTATAACTTATTGCAGCAACTTCAAAACTCATTTGCAGAATTTATGTTTGCTGACTCTTTCATAACTGCCAATACTTGCAAAATTTCCTTGTTCCAAAAACTCCAACATTGAATAAAACCATTTGCATGATACAGTGGTTTTCTGACCTGTGAAATCAAGCATCAAACAATCAATTATACGAAATCATTAAATTCTTAATAAACAAGAACTTTTTCTGCAACAGGAATATAGAAACGTTTCTTATTGTACCCTTAAATCCCCTTTATAGAACATTTATAGTTTTCTTTTTCTTGTTATGATAAATGTAATGAAGAAAGATCTGCTTGTATTTTTCTCATTTCTTCATTTTACACTTATGGATGCATAGCAGTATATTTAATATTGGTAAAAGGGGTATCATCACTTTACAACCTGAAATTATGCTTCAAACAATTACATTGACCCTGTTTTCTAACAAGTACACGGACCTTGGTTTCTGACAAGTACACTGACCCATTATTAACACTAATATTATAACTATAATAAGTGTCGCTGTCCATAGTTTTTATAACCTTGGTTGGTTTGAACTCAAGATGGCAAGTGGAAGTTCACATGATTTTGACTGTATGCATATATAGCTAAAGATTCTGAAGTTACAAGTAAAGTGAGTTCAAGAAATTTAATGAAGATTCCAAAGTTCATTTTCTGCCCAACATGATTAAATGTCGGAATAATTGGAGTGGTTGTGATGGAGAATTCAGGTAACACTACCAACATTAGTGATTGTTCTCTTAAAACTCCTTTTATTTTAATTTTCTAATGCCAGTTTTCTTAAACTTTACTTATTTGATTTTTTTGAATATATTATTTTCTCATAACTTTTATATTCAGTGTCTGAAGCATGCTTCTGCCATTGATATTCTGGTCTTTGACAGGTTAATCCATCTGGAAATTTCAATTGGAAGCTATTCTGGGATTTCTTAGTTTACTTGCTGCTTCAACGTTCCCACAAGCTGGAAGTTCTAATGATTAACAAGGTTTGCTGAGTTGAAAAGTGAATTTTATTTTATATTGTATCCGAGAACGTTTGGTATCTGTCATTGTAGAAATCACGAAACCATGCAACGAGACACGAGTAGTCAAGATGGAGGCATTGACTGCTTGTTCCTGAATTCCTTTAACATCTCAAAATTTTATGCCTTGGAGAATATCAAGGATTAGAAACTGAGCTGGATTTTATAGGGTGTATCATGCAAAATGTTAGTGTTAGAGACAATGACTTTCAACTTATCAAGATCCTCAGGTTCAGAGGAAAAACTTCAAATCTGCAGCAATTTATCTATACTTCATAGGAAGTTTGAAACCTGTCAAATTGTATTCCACTGAATCTTATTCTTAGAAGGTATGCTTTTGGTGGGCTAATATTGGGAAGCTTTGCTCAAGTAATTTTCTCTTTTCTCTTAGTTGTCTTCTGTTTTAGTTTTTTGTTTAGGAGAATTCATTAGTATACATTTTTTTATGCTTTTGCTTGGGCTTGCACCCTACCCTAGTATATAATTAGGACTCTTGTGTTGGTATCCGTATCACAACATTGCACCTTATCAATCTAGGATACTGTTAAAGTGTTCTCTGCCTTTTACTCTTGCACGTGAATCTTTTAATTTCAACAAATAAACCTTGTTTTGCGGTCTAGTGGTTTTGTAAACTATGAATATTATGAAAATATGCTAATATGTGATACGAAAATATAACAGAGTTGGTTATAGTTGTAGTAGAAACATTGATTATATTCAGGATTGCCTACGGATAGTACAATTTTACTTTCACTTTAATGTATTTTAATCTTAACTAAAATTAACTGATCTGTTCTTATGGATACTTTTCTGAGCAGGAAAACCAAGTACAGCTTTAAGTGCAGAAATCTTTTTCCTATAGAGATGTTATGCAGTAATTTGTAATCATCAAAGTTTGACCGAGCCTATTTTGATCTGAACCACCCTTTTGTTTTTGGTTCTTTCATTATTTTGCTATTAATACTCTGTAGTGTATTAGTGTCTTTCTTTTGTTACTGTGAATACTTCTAGTTGGTCTAGTAGGACCGAACAATTAGCTCACTAAGACTCATCATGGCCTGTAATACTTCAAAGTTCGTAGCAACTTTCTCTTGATAAATTATAACTGCTCTTCAAAATCTTGTGCAACGTCTTCACAACATTATATATTGTTAAATGCATATACCTAGTTGTCATTTGAGAAAATCATAAGTCGATGTTCAGGATTTATATATTACAAATCTGTAGATTGTTTTGGATAATCAGCGTATATGCTCATAGAAAGAGCATACATGATTATGTAAATTGGTTTGTATAGCAGAACAAAAACCAAGAGTTACTATTATCACCATTATTATATTTTTCTGTTCTTCTTAGGCAATTGTTACAAAGAATTGATCAGTAAAGTATGATTATGATCCTCAGGTTCAGGATTTGAATGCAATCAATGGCTTTTCTCAGCATTCCTGGTGTACGTTTGAAGCCACTGCTCTAGCCCAAAACTTGATCTGCTGTTTCATGTCACCTGCAGACTTATTAGAAGCCCAGTTTGGAATAGGAGGAGCACAACTTTGCACCAACCATGCCTCGGATAAGTATGGTCTCCTTGCAGCCTTATCTTCTTCTGTCTCATCTCTTTTTTTCTCTTGCAAACCAGGTAGTATGTTAGCTAAACTTGGACTCAAGGTTTCTTTCTCAAATGAGAATCCCAAATCCTTGAACCCCTGAACCTCTTCATATTCAAGATCACTTAGGCTTCTCCTCATTGTTTTCTGATTCAGGTACCTGCGCTTCATCTCCATAATACCCTCTGTGTTGAAGCTTTCAACCTCAGTCTTTCTCGCTGGTCTACATCTTGGAATGCTACAAGTCTGTCAAAGCAAAAATGACATAATGTGAGGACTGAAGAGTTAACTTCAACACCTTCAAATCAATCTGAATTTGGAAGTATATATATATATATGTTTTGAACTTTACTTCGCAAAGAACTATAGACTTCTCTTAAAGTAGCATTGTAGCAGCAAGCTACACACACATACACACATATGTGTGTGTGCTTCCTGTCCTTTTCTTATGATATGAGTTTATTTATGCCAAAAACTTTTGGCCTTTTTGGCCATGCTGTAATTGGTGCTGGCCACACTAAAAGCAATCATAAACTTTAGAAGGGACAGAATCTTATACATTTGGACTTTAAATGAAAAGGAGTATATTACTTAATATCTTACAAAAGCAGATGATTGAAGTACCTTAGAGGTTTGCCTGGGGGGCAAGATGTCAATATGGGTAGGTGTTGATGTTTGCCTGTTGGATCTGCTATCATTTACTTGGAACTTTTCCTCTCTCCCTATGGATGGAGGCAAAGATGGTGTTCTTAGAAGTTTGCTTTTCCTTCTACTACAATCACTGTCATGTCCTTTCATCTGTGCACTACGAGGTTTACTAACTGAATGAGACACCACAGGATCTTGTGTTTGGTGCACAAATTTGCTTCTAGTAGAACTGCTTCCTTTTTGACCTTCTTCTTCTTCTCTCAATCTCAATGGTGGCATGGATGGTGCTCTCTGGATCTTCTTGGTATGATGAAAAGCACCATTGTTTGGTGGTTTCCTTATTGAAGAGTAAGAACACACACAAGAGTCCTTCACTGTAAAATCCGGGGGGCTGATCAGGCCAGTGGAAGGGTAAGGATCAGAGTGACACCTTGTCATCTTTGGTGTTATCTTTAACAAGTTGTCAAAGAACCAGCACTCCTCCAGAAGATCTGCAGCTTCCAATTTTTCATCTTTGCAGAAAGAAGACTCAGAAGAGTTGCCAATTGGATCCATCAGTTTGCACTTTTCCAACTGTCACCCCTTAATGTGTTCTGAACTTATATGCAGACTTCTGCATCTGTAGTCACTGAATTCTTATTAAATTAACCGAATGTTTTGCACACACAGGCCAAAGATTTTAGCAATAAAAATTCTGAAGCTGAGCTTTCTTTGTAGATAAGCCATGTGAGATATGACACCATGTGCTCTAAGATGTCCTTATTCATTGTTTAGGTAGAAAGTGCTTACTGTCCAAAAATCAAGTGTTATTTTAATACAAAAAATGGATTTCCTTTGGCATTTGAAGAAGTGAAATAATAGTTATGAGATGGATGAGTGCAGAGAGAGAGAGGAAGTGGGGTCATGGAGCATTCAAGCTTCACAACAAAAAATAATAGATAGGGACGATTTCTTTGGGATTGCCTTTATCATGCCAGCACATCCCCATGTGCTCTGGTTTTTGTTTATGCAGCCACTTCACATCACAAAACAAGTTAAATTAATCATTGTGTTTGGTTTTATTTGACTACTACAACATCATTTGGTAATGCTGTGAAAAGGTTTCATTATTACGTTATTTTCTTTTACATTTAATAAATATCTTCAAACATATTAAAATCTTAAAACTGATTAATCATAATAGTTCTTAATTAGCATGCAGTTTCTGAAGACCTTCATTCTTTTCTCCAGGTGTCTGTGTGGCTATATGTATAGTGTTCTTAGCTGTCTAAATATCATGAGCTTTTAAAAAACTAATTCAATTTAAACTATTAGTTTAGTTGAGTTTGGTAGAGGAATGAAACCAATTATTTAATCAAATCTAGCTTGATGCTTAGTTAAGGAAGATGCCAAAAACTCTGAATTATTTTCTTGTACAACTTGCTGTTAACCTATCGATTAACCACTCTAGAATCTTGACCAATTTGGTTAAATTTGTAAGTTTATTCTTGTTAGGTACAATTACTTTTGAATTAATTAACTCCTCTAGCTAGTTTCTGTTATTGAGTTTGATTCGCAAAGGATTTTGGTGTTTTTTTTTTGTAAATTATTAAAAAATTAAGTAGATTGCTCGAATGAATAAAAAATAAAGAAAAACAATATATATATATATATATATATATATATATATATATATATATATCGTGCCAAGCATAATACATAAATATTCCTTTTTCTCGATGATTCAAATATTTATATTATTATAATACGGTAGTTACGGGTGTATGTTTCATATAATAATTGTTAAAGTATTAGCTTTTTTAAAGTATTTGCAAATTTACTCAAAAATATTTGTTGGTGTTGTAAATTAAAATATTGTACATAAATTTTAATACATGTGAGTGGTTCTGATTTTTTTTTATAAAATGTTAATTTTTTATTCTAAAATTGGAAAGTGACACTTTTAATCTTTATTATATTATGACATTAAATAGCTAGCTATTCGTGTATTAAAAGTACAAGATGTTAACTTACCATTCTAAATTAAACTGACTGTCATCTAAAATTAAAAGCAACTAGAAATTAAAAACATCTTTGAGATAAATAAATTAAAGAAAGAATCTAGGAAGAAGTTCTTGATTGAATAAATATTTTCATTATAAGCTTTTAAGAATATTTTTGAATTATATTTAGAAAAAAATAAAGTCCAAATGAATGAATTTATCATAATTTAAATGTGTTGGGTGAATGCATGGAATGTTATATTAGTGATTGTTAATTTTATAATATGGAAGAGTTACCAAAAAAGTTGAAAAAAGGTGTATAATATAATTTTACACTTATACATGTGGGTATAAGGAATGAATGAACAGTTATATTTGATGGTGTTGTAGTGCTTAAATATTATTGTATGGAAATAAACATTAATAATGTTTTATATTAAATATAGTTATATAGTTACTTAGTGTTATTTACGGAAAAAAAGTATATGATATTATAAGATTATGACAATCTCGTTGTAATTGTTTCAATATATATTTATGGTAGCCATTATTATATATATATATAGGGGTTTGCTAACGCGCGTACGCCTGTTTTTCAGTTGGTACATTTTAGCAATGTGTACCGGATTTTAGTAGACAAAAATATCCTTATATATTATGGATTCCAAGTTTTAAGGTTAAGGGTATTTTAATAATTTTCATTTTCAAAACAAAAAAAAAACCCAAAACCCTTACTCACCTCTCTCATTCCTCTCAATCCTTTCTCTTTCATCTCTCTCACTCCAACCTTTTCTCTGTCATCCCTATTGTAGCCCCAATTGAAAAAAATCAGAAACACATGCCTTTAAAAATTTTTCCTTTGTAAAGAGTTGAGTCATTGACATATTCACATTCAAGGCAAAGGTTCATTCAAGATCTCTTCAATTTCACCATCTTCACTAACCTCTCTAATTTCATCATATCTGTATTTGTTGAATCATCATCTCTAAAAAAAACCTCCAGGCCAATTACCAATTCTTTCTGATGTCATTATGCTTGTGAAAATTAGATAAAATTATAAACGACAAAAATTATAAAATGAAAACTCATTATAAAGTCATTTTTTTGTAAGAAATTGTTTAACAACTGAGTGTTTCTGATTTTTTTTTTCAGGCCAATTACCAATTCCTTTGATGTCATTATGCTTGTGAAAATTAGATAAAATTAGATAAGACAAAAATTATAAAATAAAAACTCATTATAAAGTCATTTTTTTGTAAGAAATTGTTTAACAACTGAGTGTTTCTGATTTTTTTTTTCAGGCCAATTACCAATTCCTTTGATGTCATTATGCTTGTGAAAATTAGATAAAATTAGATAAGACAAAAATTATAAAATAAAAACTCATTATAAAATCATTTTTTGTAAGAAATTGTTTAATTGCGAGTATTTCTGAATTTTTTCCAGGTCAATTACCCAATTCCTTTATGCTTGTGAAAATTGGATAAAATTAGATAAGACAAAAATTATAAGATAAAAACTCATTATAAAATCATTTTTTTTAAAGATTGTTTAACAAGTGTTTCTGATTTTTTCAATTGAGGCTACAGTAGGGATGACAGAGAAAAGATTGGAGTGAGAAAGAGGAAAGAGGAAAGGTTGAGAGGAATGAGAGAGGTGAGTAAGGGTTTGGGGGTTTCTTTTTTTTTTTTTTTTTTAGTTTTGAGAATGAAAATTATTAAAATACCCTTAACCTTAAAACTTAGAATCCATGATATATAAGGATATTTTTGTCTACTAAAACCCGGTACACATTGCTAAAATGTACCAACTGAAAAACAGGCGTAAGCGCGTTAACAAACCCCATATATATATATATATATATTGTATAAAAAGTTAAATTTAAATATTGAAGAATTGGTTGCAATGTATTATATTAAAACCAAATATAAGAAAATAGGTGATACTGTTATTGGCATTAAATTTAGTTCAAAATATTAAAAATGTATGAGTTGTACTGATAATAATAAGTTTGAATGTGAGATTCTATAAATTTTAATAATTAGAAGAAATATATATATAAATGTGATCAAGTATTTTAATTAAAAGATAAAATGGTTTGTTATTTATATTTATAGAGTTTATTTTATTTTAAAATATATTTTGGATATTGTTATATATTTTATATATTTAATTTGAAAGATATTTTAGATATATTTAAAATAGATTAGGATCTGTTTTTAGTATTTTAAAAACTGATTGAAATAGAAAAAGATTATTATATGAGGTGGTTTTAAAAAAATTAAAAAGGGAATCAAGTCAGGTTTTAGATTTAAAAACTGATTTTAGGGACAAAGGGGGATTTTCTACGTTAATGTAAAAACATAAAATGAGGCAGAATCAATTTTGAATATAGGAGATATTGTTTTGACAAGGAAATAAAAATAGGGGCAGTAGATAGAAGGTTTTGAGAAAAAGAGAGAAAAATCCTACGTGAGAATTAAGAGAAGAAAACGTGAGGGAGTGACTGGTTTTAGAAAGTGATTAGCAACTTCGAGGGCATTTGTGGTGGGATAACGAGAACGTGCATTAAGAGAGGGTTAGGCCTACTGAAATTTTGGGTAGAAGAAAAGATTAGAATTGGCCCAAGTTATGGGAAACTTATCTAGTTTTTCATGTGAACGTGAATAGAGTTTATGATTTTTTGTTCCATTGATGGGTAAAGGTACGTGAGTGTATGAATGGTGGTTGTTTAAATATCCATTATATGTTGGATGTTATTGTATTCTTTTTATGTTGAGCGGATTTTGATGGGAATCATGTTGCATGTGTGTGTGTGTGAGGGTGGTTTTGGATATTGAAAGAGTATGTTTTTCTTGTGTATCATGAGGTATGAATCAGATCTTGGGATTTTTATTAATATGTGCTTGGTTCACTTCATGTGATTGTGAGATATTAATACCAATATGGAAAGATGAATGGAATGGGTTATGATTTATTATACCTTTGAGGGTTAAGTCCATAATACGTGGTTTGGCCTTCTAGTGAGATGTCTATAAGGTGATGAACTTGTCTACTCATGTACCTAGTAAATCTTGAGTTGTTGGCTTTCGACCGTGCGATACAACAAAAAAGGCTCTCTTTAGTCTTGTGTGAAAAAAGAGATTGACGTTCGAGTGTTGCATCTTCTTTGTATGGAAGGAATGATGTTTTGTCTGGTCTCCAGTTCGTTGCTAAGTATAGTATCCGGTGCACGATGTGTTGACGTTTTTACTTGTAAGTCCTTATGGAGCAAGGAAACAAGTCCTTTAGCTGTGAGGGCAAGACGACTCGAGCGAGCCTGTTCAGTATAACATGTGTGAGGTTGGGTATATGAGATAAACCAAGGTCCTTCATGATGATGTTGGGGATTCGTGATGACGATGTGTTTGAAGACCGTGTTAATAAGGATGACATTTATGGTATGGTTATGATATGGCTGATGAGGATGCTGACGACGAGCATAGTGTAGAAATGATGATGTTAGTAAGGATAGCGATGTATGTTAGACCCTTGAAAATAATTAAATTTGAGTTGATAAATATTCATCATTTGAGTGAATGTTGTGAAGAGAGAACAATAATTTTAGCAGATAAGGAGATTTGAGAGTTAGGATCTGAGTTATAGAGAAGGTTATGAGACGTTATGAAAGAGTGCTTAGATTGAGTTGTAGATAGAGTTGTTTGTAGAGAGGAGTTGTCTTTT